CCACAGGAATCTGCGAGAGCACTGTCTCTTTAAATATACAAAATAGTCAAGCCACTTTTTATACCTACAAAATGGCGGCGCCCTCCGGATAGGCAAAAGTCCACAATTCAGCCCACCTTTTTCTTCACCTTCTCCGTTTGTTCCCCAGCCACTGTGCACAGTCTTTCGTGCAGTCCCTGGCTAGTAGGGTGATTTTTTGGGGTTAATTCTTAGGTCCTACCACCACTCGGGAATCTCCAAGCCCTGTCGTCTGTGCCGTCAGGGTCGCTCAGGCCGCTGCAGACTGCAGCTCCGTGTGTCTCCTTTTTTGGTATTGTCACGCAAATTCTTCTGCTAGTTGGGGTTTAGTCCACTTTTGTATCCTTCCCTTCAAGGCTCAGGGGTCCAAGATTATCTTCTGTGTCTGTGTTAATTGGTTTCCCTTTTCTTTGTTGAAGAGCGTCTGTGCAGTCCTTCTGCCTAGTCCGCCATCTTCTATAACTCAAGTTCTTATCTACTAAGCTCTTCTGGAAGCGAACTACTCTTTCAACTTAATAAATATCAAATATCATACCTAAACATTTCCTCAACTGTGATTTTTTTTTTTTGGAGGGGGAAAAGGATTTTAGATTTCATTCCTTTCCAGGTCTGGCTTTCCAAACATTTCCCAGAACTAGGGTTACTCAAGAAATGGTATGTTTTTCCCCCACTATTCTACTTTTAATTCTATTTTACATCTACCTAAAACTCATGCTTTACACTCTATCGATCTTTGCAAAAATAAAGGCCATTTTAATTGTTCCTGTGGTAGTTAAGGTTGTTTTCAACCTGGCTGTGCCTGGTTGAGTGGGTGGGCAGCTGGATGTAGTTATTCCCCATGGTGAGAATGGCAATCATTTCCATGGTGGAGTCTCCTGGAGCAGCTGAGTAGCTGCTTTAGGGATGTGGGCTGCTTCCAGTATATAGGAAGCTGCTTTGGGGAAGGCCTCTAGCTTTTTGGCACTCTTGGACCCTGCATTCAGGGTGAGTCTTCATTCAGCAGCCTGCCATACTCTGCCAATCTTGGGACTTTTAATGGACTTGAATCAATTGCCTGCCATACGGTTTGCTAACATCAGGACTGTGCCTTTTCACTTATCTACCTTGGATTTGTCAGCCTCAGCAGCCAGCAGTTGCCAGAGTAAAGAGATGCCTCTAGCTCCAGTGGGCCAGGAGCAAGAGGCAGAGCTGAAGCCCAAGGTCAAGGGGCTTTCACCCAGCCCCTAGAGCCTGGCACTTTGAACTTGGACTTCTAGCCTCCCAAATACCTGTTTGTTCAGGCCATCCCATTTGTGGTATCTTCTGTTAGAGCAGCACTAGGTAATCAAAACAGTTCCCCATTAAAAAATGCCAGGGCCTCACTGCATTCCAAGTAACTCTCACAACTCCAACCTATCGTCTCTCCAGTAGCCTAACTCAGGTTTCTACAAAGTGCCTCTGCTCATCTTTACCTTTTTATAGATAGGCCATCTTCACTTGACCTTCTTAATTTTTTCAGCTTTTGCTCTATATACACTTCCCTTCTTCCCCATAACAAAAGTCTAAATTCAACCACAAAATTCACCAACACTTTGACAAGCATCTATCCCCCATAGATAAGCAGTAACAACATTCCTTCATTAACATCAAAGATACATAACGTACCTCCTCTCCTCAGAAAAAGTTTGCATGTCAGTGTGTGTATTAGCTGTTTGTTCATTCACCACAGTGCTCATATAGACGTGAGGGCTCTAAGGCAGACAGGTGTTCTTTCCAAGGGACCACCTTATTTTCCCATATTGGAACCTGTTCCTATCTACTTTAGGACACAATGTAACCAAAGAAATGCATGCTGGCCCCAAAACAACTGGATAATGTATGTGACAGCTCTCCCAGCACTTAACTCAATAAAAATCACTGTAATTGATCATCAAAAAAGTTATAATTAAAACAAAAAAGGTAAGGTTGTAGTTACAAAATGATGTACAAAAATCTTTTAGGAATAAATACAGTGCTGTCTAACACAAATAACTCAACACAAACACTTCTTGTTATATTTAACAAACAAAAAGTAAAACATCGTTAGTCATAGCTACTTAGGTTGTGCTATCCAACACAACAGATACTCGCCACATGTGGCCATTGAGCATTTGAAACTGGCTAGTCAAAACTGAGATGGAAGTGTAAAATACACACCAGATTTTGAAGACATAGTATGAAAAATGAATTTAAAATATTTCACTAATAATTTTTATAGTAACTAGATGTTGAGATGATAATCTTAGATATACTGGATTAAATTTAAAATATCAATAAGATTAATAAAACTATAAATAATACCAAAAAATATGTTTGGGAACATGGGTATAGGGACGGATAGATGGGTGAACAAGCTAAACAATTAGGTATGTCTAAATGGAGAGTGTATCCAAGATCATATATAGGGTTGGCAGACAATGGGCCTATAAGTTCATGTGAATGATCAGAATTCCCAGGTGTATAGTAGAGCTGACAAGGGGCAAGGGTATGGTCATTACTTGGTCACAGCCAGCTACCCAGAGGGACTGAGTAGTTGATCTGCGGGCTTGGGACCATAGTCGCAGGGGACATCAAACTCAATTGGCATAACATACTATACAAAACTTTGTTCCACCTACTACTTTGGCGAGTAGCGACTGGGACCTTAAAAGCTAGGAAGCTGCCATCTAGATGCAACAATGGGTCTCTCCTCGTCAAGAAGAAAGAAGAAAACCAAAATTAATGGAAACAATCAGTCCTAGCGACTGGTACACCATCCGATCTGCAACCTATACAACTATGAGACCAGAAGAACTAGATGGTGCCCAGCTACCACTGCCATCCACTTGGAAGGGATGTAGGAGATCCTGCATAAAGAGGGACAACAATGTGGTACAAAACTCAAAATCATTTGGAGGCAAAAAAAAAAGAAGGTGGGGACCAGGTTTGCTGGTCCAATAGAGCCTGGTGTAACCACTGAGACTATGGCCCCTAGCTGCCCTTCAGGTCTGGAATTGAACCCACAACTGTGGTTTCCAGCCAAACAAAGTACAGGCATGTGAGTTAAACATTTACCTCAAATAGACACACGCCCTGGAGAGAACAATCATGGGAGAAGGAAGGGCTGCTTATGCACAGGGAGATAGCTCAGGGTGCAGAAGAGTATGAAGGGATGGACACTGGGAGGAGGTAACTATGGGGAGGAAGTGGGAGGGGAGCTGCTGCATTGTAAATTTTGGTCAATGACATGAGACAAAGTATATGTGAACTGCTGTATGAAAAGTGAATTTACTCTGTAAATCTTCACTCAATCCTAATAAAAAAAAAAAAAAAAATGTTTGGGAAATGATCCAGTCTTCAAATGGTGATTGCCCCATCTTCCTTCCGAGGAGTGGCTGGTGGGTCTGAACAGCCAGCCTACTGGTTATCAGTCAAATAAATGCCTTAGGCACAACACCACTAGAGCTCTTGTCAAATGGTGAATGGGTAATAAACTGTGGTACATGGAATACCACTCAACATAAAAAGGAACAAACTATTGATACACACACTGAATGACCTGGATGAATCTCAAAGACATCATACTGAATGAAAGAAGCCAGTCCCCAAAAGTAACACACTGTGTGATACCATTTATGTGACATTCTTAAAAGAAAAAACTACAGTCATGGAGAAGAGATCAGTGGATGCCAGAGGTAAGGGGTTGGGGAGGGCATGATTATAGGGACAGCACAAGGGAATTGTTTGGAGTAATGGAACTGTTGTGTCCTGATTGTGGTGGTGATTATATGTGTTAAAATCCAGAGAACTGGACATCAAACTTTAAAAAGTCAATCTTAATTTTTTTTTTTTTTAATGCATTTCTTTTTAGTTTGTTTTTAAAGAGGTTACTAGAAAATTTTAAATTACATATGTGGCTCATATTGTATTTGTATTAGACTGTATTTATTCCTAAAAGAATTCTAAAATACTTTTCACTAAAAAGTTGATTTTAAAAAAAATTATGTACATTTGAGATTATGCCCAAGGAATAAAATATGGTCACCCAAGATTAAACAAAAAAAGCTCAATTACTACTTACCACTTTTTCCATAATAAATATAACATCATTTTCATGTAAAATATTCTTCAGAGGGTTTGGCTGGCCTTTGCTGATTAATTGCACTTGGACATCAGTCTATTAAAAATAATGTCAAGCATTGTTTTATATATACATATATATATATATATATATATATACACACACACACACACACACACACATACATACATATTTGTACAAATGTTTACACACAGATAGACCAGTTTTATGCAGGTGACTGAGAAAGAGAATTTGAATGAGCCATAATGTTTTATTCTTTGCCCGTGTTGTTCCTCGTGTTTAGAAAATCTAGCTCTTGTGTCTATATTCTATCCTTGTTTCAAGGCCCACCTAAAGAGCATCCTGCCTTGTAAAGGCTTCTTTTGATTAGGATCACACCAACACACCCTTCCTCAAATTACATTGTATTTACCACAAATTTACAACTTTACTAATTAACTAGCCTTTCTTCTGATCGTACTATGAAAGTCAGAACTTTATCAGTTTATAGAAACTATATATATTTTTTTCTATTACAGTTGCAATACACGTTCATTGTTGAAAAGTTTGAAAATAAAGGTAACTAAAATAATTTTTCTAAAAAATCACCTGTAATTCTATTACCCGGGGATAATCAATACTATTATTAACCTGGTTTGTATATATTCTTCCAGACCTTTTCCAGGCATGTAAATAAATTCATTTAAACAGAAATATATCTATTATTAAGATAACTGCTACTTAGGATTTTAATAAAAACAAGATACTCTCATAGTCTTACGTCATGAAGCTCCTTCTATGTCATTAAATACAGTTTGGCTGTCTAATACTATGGCTCTACCACCACATAACTAATCATATATAGAATGAAAAACAGATCTGTGGTTGCCCGGGGCTAGAAGCACGGGAAACACTGACCACAAAGTACACAACAATATTTCTGGAGGTAAAAGAAATGTCCTGTATCTTGTTGTAGGGGTGGCTGCAGGACTGAATGCAGATGTTAAAACTCATAGAACTATACCTTAACAGGGCAAAATTTACAGTATCTAAATTAACTTCAATAAGCTTGATTTTTGAAAATCCACAATTTTAGGATTATTGAATTGTCCTTACAAATAAAATAAATTGCTTATACCTCATAGATAAATGGCTCTTTGCAGATTCCTTTCTTTTCTTCCTCAAAGCCCCTGAAATGCAGAACCACATGTGAAAAACAGAACTACAATATCTGTTCTATTACTTAAATTCAGGAATAAGGTATCACTTTTTTCTAGTAACATAAAGGAAAAGCAAAAAACTAACTACTCTGGTACTAATGGCATATCTAGACCAATAAGCAACATCATGATAAACAGAGGAAAGGTCGAAGTTGTCAAGAATTTCATTTTACTTGGACCCACAATCAATGCCAATGGAAGCAGCAGTCAAGAAATCAAATGATGTATTGCATTGGGTAACTCTGTTGAAAAAGACCTCTTTAAAGTGTTGAAAAGCAAAGATGTCACTGAAGACTAAAGTGTACCTGACCCATGGTATTTTCAATCACCTCATGTGTATGTGAGAGCTAGACAGTGAAGAAGACCAAAGAATAACTAATACATTTGAATTATGGTGTTGGTGAAGAATATTGAATATACCAAAGATTGCTAAAAGAACAAACAAATCTATCTTGGATGAAGTACAGACAGAATGCACCCTAGAAATGAGTGTTACAAGACTTTGCCTCTTGAACTGTGGTTATGCTATCAGAAGGGACCAGTCCCTAGAGAAGGAAATGGTCTTTCCTTTTGGTTTTCTAACTCCAGGTCTTTGCACATTTCACTATAATACTTTACTTTGTCTTCTTGAGCTGCCCTTTGAAATCTTCTGTTCAGCTCTTTTATCATTTCTTGGTAAAGTAAAGGGTCAGCAAAAAAAAAAAGGAAGATCCTCAATGAGATGGATTGACGCAGTGGCTGTAACGATGGGCTCAAACATAACAATTATGCAGATGGTGCAGGACTGGGCAGTATTTTGTTCTGTGGTACATAGGGTCGCTATGAGTCAGAACTAACTTAATAGCATTTAACAACAACAACGGCACCCCTGAGGCACAGCTGGAGAGAGAGGAAAAACAAGAGTACAGTCATACACCACATAATGTCCGTTCAGGCAACGTCCAACTGCATATATAGCCTTGGTCTGGTGCATTCTCTAGGAATGGAGAATCAGACTTGTGACTGGTTTGTTAAAGCCATCCCATTTGTGGTATATTCTTGTCAGAGTGGCACTAGGTATCCAAAACAATCAGTAAGCCCTTCAAGTTGTCTTCACTTTCAGCAAGCAAGGTTGTGTTGTCTGCATATCACAGGTTGTTAATGAGTCTTCCTCCAATCCTGATGCCACATTCTTCTTCATATAGTCTAGCCTCTCAGATTATTTGCTCAGTATAAAGACTGAACAAGTATGGTGAAAGGATACAACCCTGATGCACACCCTTCCTGATTTTAAACCATGCAATATTCCCTTGTTCTGTTTGAACAATAGCCTCTTGTTCTATATGTACAAGTTCCTCATGAGCACAATTAAATGTTCTGGAATTCTCATGCCTTGCAATATTATCCATAATTTGTTATGACCCTCATAGTCAAAGCTTTTGCATAGTCAATAAAATATAGGTAAACATCTTTCTGGTATTCTTTGCTTTCAGCCAAGATTCATCTAACATCAGCAATAATATCTCTCTCCCCACGTCCTCTTCTGAAACCAGCTTGAATTTCTGGAAGTTCCCTGTCAATATACTGCTGCAACCATTTTAGAATTATCTTCAGTAAAATTTTACTTGTATGTGATATTAATAATATTGTTCTATACTTTCCACATTCTGTTGAATCACCTTTCTTTGGAATGGACACAAATACCAATCTCTTCCAGTCAGTTGGCCAGGTAACTGTCTTCCAAATTTCTTGGAATAAACGAGTAAGCACCTCTAGTACTGCATGTATTTGGTGAAACCTCTCAATGGGTATTCTGTCAACTCCTGAAGCCTTGCTTTTTGCCAATCCTTTCAGTGCAGCTTCAACTTTTTTCTTCAATACCATTGGTTCTGGTTATCATTGGTGGATCATATGCCACCTCCTCAAACAGATGACATCGATCAATTCTTTTTGGTACAGTGACTGTGTCCATCTTCTTTTGATGCTTCCTGCATCACTCAGTATTTTGCCATAGAATATTCAATATTTCAACTCAAGGCTTGAATTTCTTTTCTTTTCTCAGTTATTTCAGCTTGAGTAATACTAAGTGTGTTCTTTCCTTTTGGTTTTCCAACTCCAGGTCTTTGCACATTTCACTATAATACTTTACTTTGTCTTCTTGAGCTGCCCTTTGAAATCTTCTGTTCAGCTCTTTTATCATTTCTTCCATTTACTTTAGCTACTCTCCATTGAAGAACAAGTTTCAGAGTCTCTTCTGACATCCATTTTGGTCTTTTCTTCCTTTCTTTTGAATTCGCTTTCTTTGTGTATAATGTTCCTGATCCTACAACCCATCTGGTCTTTGGCCATTGGTGTTCAATGCATCAAATCTATTCTTCAGATGGTATCTAACTTCAGGTGGGATATAATCAAGGTCATATTGTGGCTCTTTCCACTGGCTAGAACTTCTA